GGTGTGTTTTGGATATAAAGTCAGAACTGGTGCTAGTTATTATAAGGATAAATTTTACATTATAGAAATAAAACTTACGTGTTTAAGGAATTTATTTACTAAGAGCAAATGCATTAGAGTGGTAGACTTAAATTAGGACTTAGAAATATTTGAGCCAAGTATTAAGGTCTTTGTTTACTGCATTTAAAGTTAGGCAGAAGTTTGTCTGATTGGCTAATAAATTCAATTTAATTTTATATTATTTATACAGTTTAGAGTATATTTTTAAAAATACGAAAACTAATCATAATGAAATAAAAAAAGCTATATAGAAGGTTTCATTAGGACTGTAGGACTTCATAGCAAAAATAAGATCTAATTCTCGTCTGTTTAAAAAGTTTGTATAGTAATAACTTCTCAAATCCTGATAAAATCAACTTATTACTAAGCTAATTTTTCTAAAAAAACAAAATTAAATATTATTTTTAACTATTAAGTTCTACAGCTCTAATGAAACCTTCTACAGTCACCCCCTTCTATAGTTACCTCCTCTATAGTCACAAAATTAATATAGTCACTTTTTTTTTTACCAACTCTTTTTATATTATTTATACCTCTATATAGGCACAATCACCTTATAGTCACTATCACAATTTTTTCCTAACCATCTATATAATACCTATAATAAAATTACTCTGCTAAAGTCACATCATTTATGCGAATCTAGCAAAAAATCATGTTACAGTAGTACAAAATAAAAATCTGTATGTATAATGCAAAAAATTCTCACTTTATATACAACTAACTCATATTCTCAATAGCATTATTACAGTGAAACCTCCATAAGTGCACCTCCATAAATGCATACCTCACACTTAAATTCAGGTCAAAACATATAGATGACCTCCTTAAAGACACTTTTTTTAAGTGTACGTCATTAAAGCTTGGTCCCAAGAGCATGTACTTATAGAGGTTTTACTGTATATTACTGGTACTTATTGTTTTTATAAGAGTTTTAAACCTTTGCTTATTGAGTACATATGTATCTTATTAATTTTATCCTTAAATTATTAATCAAAAAAAAATTTTTTAAATAACTTTAAGAAAAAATAAAAATGGTATTGATATCATTAGTGCTTAGTTTTGGTTATTTGCTTATTTAAATCATTTGAGAATGTGATCTTAAATAAGTAAAATTTGATTTCTTTGCATTTAAGTCTTCCTTTTATGCAAGTACAGTATGTACTTAACCCTCTTTTATTAGTCCAGACTTATTCGATTATCAGGATTTTTCATTGTTTGGACAATGAAAAAATCCAAAAGTCTATATACTCTACCTTTATCCAATATATATAGTTAAGATCAGTATTACAGTATTAAAAAAATAGGACAAGGTGGATTTGCAACAGTATTTTATGCCAAATGGCTAGATAAAGAACAAAACTTTTTAAGAGATATTTCACTTAAATTGATTGATGGATCAAAATCTTATAACGAAAAATTTATAAAAGAGGTAATTTTTATATATATGCTCATTATTTTCTTTAATAATTTTTAAATATTAAGTACTTTAATTTAACATTAAGTTAAAAGCATATTGTGATATTAG